TTTATTGCGTATGAACTGAATGCAAAAATTTATAAAATTCTCGGTTATATCCCCAATGTTTCTCGTTCATCATTTAAGCCCGTTCACAAATTCATTCTTAAATTGTGTACACGGAATACGAGTAAATAGCCAACATGAAAATGAAGCCATTGGGTCAAAAGGATTTTCTTTAACACCAGAGGATTTTACTTGTTAGTGGCAGAGTACTGTCAGTAAATGGGTTAACAAACACATCTGACATTGGTCTCTTATTAACCCATTAACGCCAACAGGCAATGCACCCAGCTTTAGTATTCTTTAGTAACTCTTCAGAATTTGCTCAGAGTCAATGTGAGTAAAATACATCTTGTATTCAAGCGCTTTCATGTACAAAGTTTTGTTTGAATACGGCACAGAGTAGGAATATTTATTTTTAATTTTTCAAAATATCGGGTTTTTACTCGCACGCACGTTTATAGCTCGATTGATGCACGTGCAAATCATGCCGACCTACAGAATCGATTTCCGTTTTTTCCTAAACAGCGCGTTGTTTTGATCGCCGCGCTAAAAATATAAATATTCTGTAAATACCGAAATAAAAGATGAAAATCCCAAGACACAAGCTTGAAAATAACACTATAAATAGTGTTTTCGATTCTGGTTCCAATAATATTATTACGAAAAAGATTAGCCTGCGTAGCAGGCGCTATTTAAGGGGGAGGGCGAGGGTTGTGAGAAGCTAGGGGGGGGGAATGCCCTCCCCCTAAATAGCGCCTGCTACGCAGGCTAGAAAAAGATCTGATCCCAAGGGGCCGAAGTTATGTTCGGCAAAATGTATGGCTAGTTTACATTGTTCGTTATATTACGAAATATGATACCATACTTGTATTAAAATTCGCGTCGAACTAAATGTTATTGGCAAATAAGTAGACTTGCCACAAGTCGACCTCGAACGAAATTCGTTTCTTCGAGGTCGACTTGTGGCAAGTCTAGCAAACGAGAACCATACAATAATGGTTCTAGTTCTTGTTGGTATTTTGAACGCACGCCTTATCTTTAGTATAGCCGACCACAAAGCTTTTCGCGCGGATTATATTTCGCTCAGTATTAAAATTTCCGCACCCAGCGGCCAGCGCTACGCGAATTCTCTTACTTCTAGTACTGCGCGGATTTTAATACATGTATTTAAAGGTATATTGTCGACATAATCGACATTTGACTAAAACTATCGTAAGGAATTAGGAGAGTTTGTCCTTGTTTATATTCCAATATATTGTATAAATTCGCTGGGTACAAATTTATGAAATTTTGGGGTTTTCGAGTCGTTTAATTTAATACAAAAACAAAAACATTAATTCAACAGGCAAAAAAGTCCAGAGTGCGACGCAAAAATTAACACAAGTACGCAAACACAACGGATGTTATGAGTCCACGACGTATATTTATAGTTGTTTATTAAAAAGTCAAACTGTCAAACGTACCTTTAACTTGTCCTTGTTTAAATATCCTTCTATATATTGTATAAATTCGCTGGGTCCAAATTTTGTGGTTTTCGAGTCGTTACACAAAGAAAAACACATTAATTCAACACACAAGAAAGTCCAGAGTACGCCAGACACTGTCGACACAACGTAAAATCTTTAAAAATTCAACGAAACTGTGTAAAATATAGTTTGATCACTCTGTGAAAAGTCGCCATTGGAATTCGGAATTGTGCGCGTGCGTACAAGTGTATGGGCTAATAAACGAAAAATGTACCACAAGCGTGGCATGAGTCGACTATTACGTACATATATACGAGCTTATTACTATACTATCTAAGTCATGGAACCGAAGGAATCGATGGTATTTTGGCTTAATCGTTGCACCCTGAGCCTACGATGAGCTAACGTAAATTCCATTTCTCGAGTACGAAAAAAGCAGAAAAAGAGGGATTTAAGACACTAGGCCTACAGGCCAGTGTAATAAAACAAGAACTTCCTCATGCATAAAAAGGTATAATAATCCAGACGTTTCGCCGGTTAAGGCAGTGAACAATAACACAACATATAATAATTAATATATTATTAATTATTATTATGTATATAATTATAATTAATTATAATATTTTTGTTGAAGCCATGACTTTAGAACACCGTATTTGTAATGAAATCACTCTTTATTTTCACGTTTATTACAAATGTAGTTTTGTACAGTAAGTTACTTTCACGAGGAAGTTCAACTAACAACACAACAATCCCATCATGCATTTGTCTCTCAGTATTACGTCATACTAATATTTGGATAACATACAGTTTTATATTGAACTCAACAATTTTAATGGTAATATAATTAAAATAATAATAGTAATATTTATAATAATTATAAGTATTATTATTATTATTATTAAAATTGAATAAAATTTTCGTTATAATAATTATTTTTATTAATCCAACATCCTGTGGGCCGCCAAGAATCCTGCCTATCCCGCGTGCAATTACACAGTACAGACCGGCCTTCATCACGGGCTTAAAACTGTAAGGAGCCTCTTTAAGAACGCGTTTTTGACTCGTGTTCACAGATTTTTGACTCGTGTTCGTCATTTTTGACTCGTGTTCACTCGTGTTCGTCATTTTTGACTCGTGTTCACTCGTGTTCATCATTTTTGACTCGTGTTCACTCGTGTTCGTCAGTTTTTGACTCGTGTTCACTCGTGTTCTGACTCGTGTTCACTCGTGTTGTCTCGTGTTCACTCGTGTTGTCTCGTGTTCACTCGTGTTCACTCGTGTTCTGACTCGTGTGGTCTTTTAGAATAGATCTCCGCCACGACTCTTAATCCTGATTTTTGATTTTTGATTGGTGAGTCAAAACATGATAATCGCACATGTGTCATTATCATGCATAATGGAGGATTCGCCAATAAAACACCGTATATTCAGGGCCTCTTTTAACACATAGACTGGGGGGGGGGGGACATGTCCCCCAGCTCTCTTACTGGCCCCTCCAGTCGGAAATTTTGTCCCCGCCAGCGAGGTCCCTAATAACTACCTGCAGTAGGTGGTTAATTAACCAGCAATTATGTATCAAAGTGAGAAAATGATGTTAAGTTGTTAACATTTCTGAATTTGACCATTATCTGCAGCCCCGTAACTAGCTATGGGTCAACCGAGTCCGTTAACTCGGTAGGAATTTGGGGACTGAACCATGACTGAAATAATTTGCTCGTGGGACAAGGCATGAAATGGCATTTTAGGACAATGTTTAGTTTTCAGTCCAAGTAAAGATACTCCAAAGAGACCACCGTTTTTTTGCTCTTCAGTGACACTGAGAAGACGAATGCGTCGATTTCAAGTATACCCCAATTTCTCACTCGTGTTCACTCGTGTTCTGACTCGTGTGGTCTTTTAGAATAGATCTCCGCCACGGCTCTTAATCCTGATTTTTGATTTTTGATTGGTGAGTCAAAACATGATAATCGCACATGTGTCATTATCATGCATAATGGAGGATTTGCCAATAAAACACCGTATATTCAGGGCCTTTTTAACACATAGACTGGGGGGGGGGACATGTCCCCCAGCTCTCTTACTGGCCCCTCCAGTCGGAAATTTTGTCCCCGCCAGCGAGGTCCCTAATAACTACCTGCAGTAGGTGGTTAATTAACCAGCAATTATGTATCAAAGTGAGAAAATGATGTTAAGTTGTTAACATTTCTGAATTTGACCATTATCTGCAGCCCCGTAACTAGCTATGGGTCAACCGAGTCCGTTAACTCGGTACGAATTTGGGGACTGAACCATGACTGAAATAATTTGCTCGTGGGACAAGGCATGAAATGGCATTTTAGGACAATGTTTAGTTTTCAGTCCAAGTAAAGATACTCCAAAGAGACCACCGTTTTTTGCTCTTCAGTGACACTGAGAAGACGAATGCGTCGATTTCAAGTATACCCCAATTTCCTACACCAAAAACGTCTATTTCATAGTGACATGCAAGGACTCCACCATAATTCAATGGGCCAGCCTTTCCCACATCAAAATAGCACTAATAGCAACGCCTCTGGACCCGTTATTGATCATTCCATTCGAGCGCCATCCAAATACGCAAAACATTTAACCCCTTGTCCATTCCTGAAGAAAAGAGGTTTCTGTAAAAAAGGTCCTGCGTGTGATTTCCTACACCAAAAACATCAATCTCATAGTAACATGCAAGGACCCCATCATAATTCAATGGGCCAAGCTTTCCCACATCAAAAACGCCAATCGCATAACAACATGCAACGACCCTTCCATAATCCAATGGGCCAATCCCCATTTTTACCTGCTTTTCGCTATTCTCCTTTTCCTGTGAATCCTTGTTATTTTCCTCCTTTTCGGATCCCAACATACCACCCCACACCCCAACCTTCCCTTTATCCTCCTCCTTTGATGTCAATACCAATGAGATCCCCAGTAATATACTGACTAACGGAACTAGTGAAGGACCTACCAACGTCAAAACTTCCAAACCCACATCATATACAGAAAAACAGATACCTGTCAGAATTACGACACGTACATTAAATTTGAAGAGTGTTTATTCTACTGGAATGTTTTGTAATAAGCAACATAACGCAGAGAACTGCATTGTAATTAAAAATTATAAGAAAACCATTGACTGTCCTTCTCTAACAAAGAACGCGAATAATCATAATCACTCAAATTCAAAACTAAAGCTCGCTCATTTGAATATCAGATCTCTGAAAAATAGAGATAATTTGATCCAGTTGAGGGAACTTAATGGCGAACATCAGTACGACATTTTAACGATATCGGAATCATGGCTTAATTCCACAGTAAAAAATTCAGAAGTTGAAATTGAAGGTTACAGACTGTTGCGGTTGGATCGCCTTGGTAAACGTGGAGGTGGTGTTTGTGTTTTTACTCGTAACTCACTGAAAACAATTGTGGATATTAATCCAACATAAGAAAATGAAATCTATTGTGCTATGTGTTGCTTATAGACCTCCTGACTGTCCAGTTTCCTGTTTCGTGGACGATTTCATGGACAACTATTCATATGCACTTACTTTGAAAAAAGATATATTCGTAGTGGGTGATCTAAATTGTAACTTATTAAAAAGTGGTCCAGAATCTGATGCGTTGAACGAATTGTGCAGCAGCTTGAATTTATTCCAACTTATCAAGAAACCAACTAGGGTGACTTTGCAGTCCTCATCTCTCATCGATGTGATTTTAACATCTAACACAAGCTTGGTAGTGGAAAGTGGAGTTGAAGAAACGCACATCAGTGACCACTTTCTGGTTTATTCAATATTAAAGCTTAAATTGCCTAAGAAATTACCTGATTACATGGTCATAAGAAGTTTTAAGAATTATTCTTCTGAAGCGTTTAAAAATGATCTAGAACAGCTGATTTGGCAAGAAAATCCAATTGACCAGGGCGTTAACCAGCGACTGGACAATTTTAATCAGAAATTTCTAAGTGTATTAGATATGCATGCCCCGATAAAGACTGTTAAGATTAAACGTCGCTTGTGCCCTTTTGTTGACCAGGAAATTGTTCAACTTATGAAAAAAAGAAATGCGCTGCATAAACTTGCCCGCCAAACCCTGCAGGCCTTGGACTGGGACAGATATCGTTCATGTAGAAATCAAATTAAAAGAAAATTGAGAGAATCCGAGAGAAAATTTGTGTATAAAAGAATTAATGATAAAAATAGCAACAACAACTCCCTTTGGAAAACTGTAAGAGAATGTATTCCTAGAAATGAAAAAACACGTTTAACTTATTCTGGGAATGTCGTTGAAGTAGCGAACAAATTTAATGAATACTTTTCTTCAGTCGGAGCAAAAGCGGCAGAAGAATCGAAGAATCCAAAGCGTTGATTACTTCATATGGTCTTACATCGACTCATCCAGAGATACCACATAAATTTAGTGCAGAAATTGACAAGTTTCATTTTCACCCTGTGTCCTGTGACGTGATTCGTAAAATTGTGTGTTCTTTTCCATCCAATAAGTCCCCTGGACCAGATAAAGTTTCTGTGAAAGTGATCAAAGATGCCTTACCATACATTCTTCAACCTCTTACGGATATTGTTAACTGCTCTTTAAGAGAATCTTTGTTTCCCAGCGCCTGGAAGTTGTCAGAAGTTATTCCCCTATTAAAAGAAGGGAATCACGAAATTGCTAAAAATAATCGGCCAATTTCCTTGCTACTTGCTGCATCAAAGATCTGCGAGCGTGTAGTTTTGGAACAATTTACCGCATATGTGGAACAGAAGAAATGCTTAAGCGTACACCAAAGTGGAAACAGGAAGCTGCACTCCATTGAAACATTGAATTTATTTATATCGGATAAGATCTTAAAGTCTATGGACGACAAGGAGGTCGTAGCTGTAATTCTACTAGACCTTTCTAAAGCATTTGACAGTATCGATCTTGTATTGCTTCTAAAAAAGCTCCAAGTATTGGGAGTGTCCGATGACGCTTTATGTTGGTTTAAAAGTTACTTGACAGGACGACAGCAGGTTGTGCGCATTGGATCGACTGTCTCTGAAACACGCACACTCAATCATGGCGTTCCGCAGGGCTCAATTCTCGGTCCCATGTTATTCAACATATATATTAATGATTTACCTATGGTACCAAAGAATGGTAATTTGAAGTCTTACGTCGACGACTCGAAGCTACTTTTGTCATTTTCCGTCAATGAAGTGAACTCAGCGGCTGCTAAGCTTAACGAAGATCTACGGAGAGTCGTTTCTTGGTGTTCTCTAAATAGTCTGCTTATTAATCCCAATAAGACGAAATTACTTGTGTTCGCAACTCGTTATATGTTGAAACAGATACCGGCAGATTTCCATATTTTACTATTGGGGAAAAAACTGTTTCCTGTAACCTCAGCCACTGATCTAGGCGTGACACTGGATAGTGGTTTGACGTACGATGAACACGTCACAAAACTGGTTTCCTCTTGTGTCGGTAGCCTGTGTCAAATTAATAGAGCAAGGCACCTTTTTGATATGAAGACGTTAATTCTTTTAATAAACGCGTTGGTTTTTAGTAAACTCTATTACTGTTCAACCATATGGTCTAATTCATCGAAGAAAAACATTGCAAAATTGCAAAAAGTTCAGAATTTCGCAGCACGTATTGTCACGGGCACAAAAAAATTCGACCATATCACTCCATCTTTAAAACAGCTTAACTGGTTGGTTCAACAATTTCTCGATGAACAGAACTGAATTACATCTTTTACTGACTAAATTTTAAATTAAATAGTATTAATAAGTATTTTACCTTAAATATAACTAGCTTGATATTATATATTTTGGTGTTAATAGTATATTATATAGTTTTTAGAATATAATTTAATTAAGTAATTACTTTTTATAACTTCTGTATTGAACACTGAAAAACCCTTCTGCGAGTGTTTAACATTAATAATAATAATAATAATAATAATAATAATAATAATAATAATAATACAATACTGTAGATGGTGAATGATAATTCTATACCACGAACATTTTCTGATTTTCATTACCGCATCACCACACCATTCATTACATTTGGGAGACTGTGAAATTGCAGTAATTGTGTCACTGTTTATAAGGTTAATTTCTTGTTGAAAAACTCTTCGAAATGCTGGAAAAAGTTCTAAATAAATAATAGTTCTATTAATAAACGTTAGCGTTAATACTTGCGCGAATTTAAAGCAGCGCGAACAAGTCTCAACAAGGTGCGCGAATTTAAAGCTGAACGAAAATGAGTACGACGCGAATTTTAATACAAGTAACTAAGTAAGGTATTTCAAAATTCAAATTAATTGATTCTAAACGCTATCTCGTCTTTACTGGAACGCGAGCGTACTTTAATACAATCACTATATCAATTTGTATGAAATTTATAAATAATCATCTCAAATACTCTAAAGAAAAATAACTTTATAAATCTTGCACAAGTTGTTTGGCAACGAAAACTTCCAAATATATTTTCAAAACATGCTAATTTATGTTATCGTTAAATGCGAAAATATCACTATTTCTGAAAACTGTATGTTGGTCGTCACATGACAATTTAGGAAACCCTCAAGCTAGAACTGGGGTCTACAAAATGAGGCCAGCCAGCTTGGTGTTGTAATATATAACCGCGCACATAAAAACAATTGAAAGAGACTGGAACTGACGTCCAACAGCTCATCTTAGCAAGGAGTGTGCCAAAATTTCGTATTTTGACGATGAAAAAATTATGTTATGATTTTATGATTATTATGAAAACTCGATTAACGATACCGTCCGTTGGAATAAAACTAGATCAAGCTGGGAAAAATAGTATAAAAACTGTTTACGACCTTCAGAGCTATTGGATGCCAATAGAGAGCAAGAAATGAATGTATTTGAATCTATAGCCTATCTTGAACCTGCTCAAGCTAGATCTGCTGAACCGTACTGATAACGGGGGCATGTACGCTCAGCGTACCTATTTTTATATTAAACAACGTACCAGCTTTTTTTAACAACAGAACTTAGATTGTTTAATAAAAACCACTGTTATTCTACCATGTATATTTATTTATAATATAGTATTTATAAAATTAAAAACATGAGTTTGGCAAATGGTTGCATAAAATATTACACAACCTCGTTAGGTAAACTAACATGCCCAATAAAATTTAAAGTCTCCAGTTATAAATATCTGTTAACTGTACCTCTTGAAACAACCGGGTTGAATTTACCAGAAAGGCATTCTCATCAGAACTATCAATTCTAACCAAATGACCCCCGGTATCTCGACAAGACTTCTTTGCATCTTCCCATATTAGATGATGATTGTAAAATAGTCTGTAACACGATCTGTTGTATGCCACCCATCCATGATCACATACTAGAGGTGAGTCGGAAAATGCTGCAAAACAATTTACAAACTCATCAGACCATATTCTTTTGTATTTCGTCGGTTTTTAACTCCTCCGTAATAACCTTCAATCTAAAAGCAGGTGGTGGTATTTGATTTCTCCGGGGGAAATACGGGGTTGAAGGTTATTACGGAAAAATAATAACCGGGTAGCAGGTTATTACGGAAAAATAGTAACCTGCTAGTCTGCTACCAGGTTATTATTTTTCCGTAATAACCTGCTACCAGGTTATTATTTTTCCGTAATAACCTGCTACCCGGTTATTACGAAAAAATAATAACCAGTTACCTGGTTTTACATTTTCAATTCAAGACCTGGCATGAGTCTTGAATTCGGGACTTGAATTTGCAGGAAAACTCAAGACCCACATCTCCTTTTCGACTAGAAAACGTTGCACGTCTCTAAGTCGAGAAAAAGACAACAGCCGTGTACCTTCAGAGCCCGTCAAAACTCTACCATTAGGTAAGAGTATCTATCATTCGGCGTACGAGGACTAGCTGGATCAACCATCAAACAGGTTTAAGGTTTCCTTGCCTGGCTGCCAAAAGGGCGCGTTTCAGCATTATTTCATTACTTACATTACTCATGATGTTTCTTGCGCAAACAACTAAATTGCGTACACAACTTTACATTATCGTAACTTCAATTATCTAATTTGCGCCGCTCCCGTGGTTCGTGAAGCATAATAAAGGGCGTAATATAAGGGCATAATGCCCGGAAAAAAGGGCATAATTCCCGCGATCGCTTCGAAACCTGACCAATATTCCGGTAATGAGACATTGCGTGTGATCACTGATCATGTTTCGATATGAACGATTTCGTGTAAGCCGTGAGGTAGCAAATTAGCAAATACGGTTAGACAAAATAGTCTATAATTTAATATATCACTTTGTCGCCTATATTCTTAGTCTGTTTATAAGCCTATAAACACATCTCTTCAGTTTCTTGGCGGAAGTAACTATATTCTTTCGAATTTTGCGTTTTTTTCCACCCACTTTCAAAATTCAGGGCTGGATCGGCGCCCCCTTTTCATTTTTGCGCCCCCCAAGAATTGCCAGCTGGGGGGGCCACGGCTGGGGGGGCCAGCACGCCACTGGTCCTGAAAACACGATCTTTTGCATTTTATTGCGTCTTTTTTTATCGAAATTTATGGATTAAACAATCAAGGGCATCATTTGTTGAATGTTTAAAGTTGTTGGAAGTAATTAAAGTTGGAGAAAAGGTGTTGAAAGCATTTTTTTATTACCAAATAACGAATAATCACGCGAGCGACACTTGCTAGGAAGATGGCAACCAAAAAACCACAGAAAAGACCACACAGAAGCCCGACTTCTTGGTTTTTCCTATGATTTTCCAGTGGTTTTGGCGTAACTGTAATTCGTCATCAAAATGCTGACGCCATGGTTCTAGCCAGTGCGCGTTTAAGAGGCCTTCACCCCCCTGATAATATTCAAAATGGCGGACGTCCAGGGGGGATGCCTCTCAAACGCGCACTGGCTAGGACCATGGTGTCAGCATTTTGATGATAAACGAGTCGAGCCGACCTTCTGTGTGACTTTATTCTGTGATAAGACCTTATTCATAAATCGTGATCGAGGCTTCGTATCCTACAATCACGTGCAAAAATGATGCGACTTTTCACATTTTTGGCCATTTTAAAGTACGTCGGCCTCCCCCCTCTCCCCATGATCAATGTTGGAAAAAGTGGGTTGAATTTTCTCTTTTCAGTCATTCACACAACATGAATTGGGGGTGCGGGGGGCATTTATGCGGGTGTCTCAAAAATTTTTGCTCCTGATTGTAGGATACGGGAGAAAACGCGGGAAAATTGACAAACTGTTTTTTTGCTGTCGGTTATGGCAGCTTTTTTTCGAAAATATTACGACTTTTTTCGAAAATATTATCCATATAAAACTGAGCTTGAAAGTTGAAATAATACTTCTGAGAAAATATAACATGATATTTAACGTAAAAGATGCTGGAGTCAATGGGAAAAGCAAACCTTTGTATTGTCGTAGTTTGTATGGCCAAAACAAACAACCAACATTCAACAAGGCTACAAAACGTCTACAACACCGAAATCGTTACAAAAACTTGTATAGTTGCTTGCACAATCTCATCGACTTCGAGCCACAGACAACCCACAGGCAAACATTTATTTCATATAGTATTTACCAGGCAGTGTTACCAGGCTTTCTCGTCTCTCCTCTCGTCCTCATACGAAAGCCCTGGGAACGAGGTTGGCATAGTTAATATTTTTCCATGCGAATCAATAACATTTGACGTTCTCTTGTGATTTTTGACCTCTTGTTTTCTTTCATATTAATGACATTAATGTCAAATTCCAAAAATTATACTTTCATTCCATAGACGGCACAGTTGTCTTGATTTTTCACGGAATAACCTATATATTGACGTTAAAATCTCAGTAAAATACTGTTTTTGCTTCTGAGTTCTGGATAAATATCATCGCTACGTTGTCATATTTTCCACACAAAAAACGGGATAAAAACCGGTCGTTTTTATACTCCGGTCGTTTTTATACTCCGGTCGTTTTTATACTCGGTGGGCACAAAATCTTAAAATATACACAAAAATCGTTATAAATCGAAATAAGCAACAAGAAACAAGTCTATAAAGTCGACCCAATGGCATCTGAACTGGCTTGTCAAGCAGTTTTCTCTTGTTTTCCCGCATTTATTCCCGTTTCCTAGGATACGAGGCTCCGATTGCGATTTATGAATATAAAGGTCTATTATGCGACAAAAATAAATCTACTTCAATCCAAGGTGGTGCCACCCCCCTATGACGTTACTGAATCACAAACAACTCTTTCTATGACGTCATATGGCGAGAAAATAGTTGCTGACGTCATATGGCGGGAAAATTTTGCTCAACGTGGGGTAAAGAACTATATTTATGACAAGGTTGGCAACATTTTTGACGGAAATTTATTACAACGTTTACTAAATGAATATTTCGCGAATTACAAGCAAAAACAATACAAAATCTACATCATTTCAAACACTGGTAATTTTACTACATTCTCTTTGCGGGCTTTTGACTAAATTTGTCAAAATTACGCTGGGGTCAGTTACATTGTGGTGATGTCTTTTTTAAATCTTGAAGAAGCGGTGATTGGCTGTTGACGTGTATAACGTGTCGATTCCGGGAGGAAACTTCATGACAGTTGGCCGCGGTTTTGATTCAACTGATGTTGAACAGTTTGTAGATGGAAATTTCGCGTAGATGGAAATTTCGAGTGTAAATTTGATACATTTTTTTTTTATCTTATTTTTTTAAATTAATAAATATATTTGTCACATT